TTTATTTTATTTGTTAATACAGTATTAATTCGTTTTTTTTTCTTTTTAGTAATAGGATATCGAAACGAAACGTAGTTATATTAAAATTTACTTAAGAGTTTAAATATTTGTAAATGTACGTTATAAATAAATTAATAAAAATCATTAAATGTTTAAGTAAATTAATAAAAATTATAATAAATACATTGTATACATATAAATGCGTAAAGATTCATATGCTATAAGTTTCTTAATATAATATAAGAGAAGATCCGAAAACGTTCAACTTTAGTAACTACAAAAAGAAAGCGAATTTTCGACATGTGTATCATTTTTATGCTATAATTTATAACAATCAATATTTAAATATTAATATAATAAAAATTCAAATTCAAAAACATTTTTTAAGATATTTATTTTTAATTATGTTTTAAACTACAGTATTTTTTTTTTTTGAAAAAAGTAATAAAGTAAAATAACAAAAAAATATCTTATTATTTATTATTATTAATTTATTTACTTTTTTAAGTGAAAGGTGCTTAATAAATTATTTATATATTTAATTTAATTATATTATTTTTTAATTAAAAAAAATAAAATGATTATCAACTTTATAAAATTACTTGAATAATCATAATCAAAAATATAGTTTTATTAAAAAAATTATATTTATTATGTACAAAAAAAAAAAAATTAAATGAATCTATTGAATATTAAAATAATTAATAAATTGAATATATAGATAGATAGATATACAGTGTGAAACAAAAATAATTGAAAAAAAATCAAAACTTGTATTTTTATTAATAATTTAATAAATAATTAAAATAAAAATAAATATGTGTATATTTGGAAATATAAAAGAATAGAAATATACAAAAAAGTTATTTAAATATATTAAAATAATATAATTATAATTAAAAAAGATAGCCATTTAAAATTATTAATTTTTTTGTTAATTACAAAAAAAAAACAATAATAACAATTATTAAAATTATTTCAGTATATCAATTAATTAAATATAGATTAATAAAACATTAAAATAATTTAAAAAAATTTTTTTTTTGATTTAATAATAAGTTATTTACTTTTGATAAAATTTAACAAAAAATTTTTAATAATAAATAAGATATTTTTATTTTGTTATAAAAAAATATTAATAATTACATAATTAAAATTAAAAACATATTTATTATAAATATAAAAAAATTTTTTTTATTAATATTAAAATAGAAAAAATTATTTATAAAAAAAAACTTGAAATTTTTTATATATTTAAAATATATAATATTATAAGTATTATTAAATATTATCATAAATAAAAATAATAAAAAAATTTTTTAATTAGTTATATTAAATTATAATAATAATAAAATTAATTGTTAACTATTATTAAATTGAAATTTTTATATAAATAAATTAAAACTTGTCAAATATTATACTATTATAATCAAATTTTTATAAATTTTTTATATTATATTAAATAACAAATAATATAAATTAAATCAAACAATAAAACTTTTATATTTTTTTAAATTAATTTGACTTTAATTCAATAATTCAATAATATAATTTAGATTATATATATACGTAATATTATTTATTATATTGTAATTCTAATTAACTATAATACAAAAACACATATATTGAAAATGCCTTAAAGTAGATAGTTCTCTGCTATGCTTGAACAATTAAATAATTTAAAATAATAATGTTGTTGTTTTTTAATATATTTTTTATTTTCTATTACAAAAAAATACTGTAATAATTAATTTAATTTGCCCATTTGCAAAAAAAAAATAATTAATTTAATTTAATTGTAGCTTGATTAATATGGAAATAATGTGCGCGTAGTTTTAAATATCCATTTATAGGCGACCACATACATACAATAAATAAATAAATCATTCATTTTCTTTTTATTCATGTGATCACAAGTTTGGGACACGAGGGATTATCATACGTAATAACCAACATAAATTGTGCAGTGGGAATAAACTGGGTAGAGAGATAGAGTTTACTTTTTTCTCTACGAATTCCACGAAAACTAACACATCCTTTTCTTACCGATTTGGTTTGCTTTTATTGTCTATCATGGCTGCTTGCCTGCCATCCGATTGCTTGTTAAATATTTTCTCGTATTTTGAGGGCGATGCCAGATCATTGCACTCTTTTTTATTAACAAATCGTAATTGGTGTCTCAGTGTCGTTCCGCTATTATGGCGAAGAACATTTTATATCACATCTCATAGTAATTTTTCATCTAAAAAAAGAAGTAAATTGGTAGTAACCTACTTAACATGTTTGGACGAGAAGATTATACCTTTTTCGTCAACATCGACGGCATCTCATAAACCCCGGCTTCCCACATTTGATTACGCAACATTTTTACGGGGATTCGATTTTTACGATGTTTATCATGCCGTAGGCAATTGGTATGCTTTCCAAACTCCCGAACGAAGAAGAAAGATAAGCTTTGATCGTTTTCATGATATGAGTGACGACGAATGCCGTAAACTATTCATCACAAGAGAATTGATGAAGCAATTTATTCGAAGTTCTCCGATAATTGACTATTTGGCACTAGATGCAGAACAATCGTTGCCACCTCAGTGTTGGTCACTTTCCAATTTCTCGGATAATCATAATTCTCTAAAGTACATACGAACATTCGTATGTCGTGGAAACGCAAACAAACAAGAAGTCTATGCCGCACTCTCTCAATGGTGTCAAAATATTGAATTCTTGTCGATTCATGGAATCGGAAAAGATGATCCCAGCGGGGAATCGTTGAGCAATTTAATTAAGGTACAACGTCAACTTCGTGAATTCGTCCTTTGGAATGGTACCAGAGATCAACTACCCCAAATTATTCGCGCTCTTGCGTTCCGAGGTGAAAAACTTAAATCTCTAGAATTTAGGTTTTGTGATTTTTCAAAATCCACACCACTGGAAACGTTAGCCAATTCATGCGCAGGACTAAAGACCTTTAAATTAATTCGTTGCGGGGAAATACATAGTAATCTTTCGGAATCCTGTTTAACTCCTGTATTTCTAGATTTGATCAATTTAGATCTACAAGGGACTTATATATCCAGTGAATCATTGGATGTCATCTTTAAGTGGTCTAACATAAATTTACGAAGTTTACATGTTGAAAGTACGGGTGGTCGCTTTCGAATACCAAAAATACTCGAAAGCATAGCAAGTCATTGTCTGAATATAACTTATCTTAAAGTTCGCACGAAAAAAGACAAGCTCTCACAATTAGCAACCTTACTCAGATCTTGTCGCAATCTGCATTCTCTGAAGATTTACGGCTCACCACCCGATCGCCTTTTCTTCTTCGTTCAAGACACTGACGATGAATTGTTGTTGAGCTTGAGACAAACAATTCCTATAAATTTGAAAACTCTGGTACTGAAAACGGATTGTGCATTCACTTCCTTAGCAATTGACGCGTTTCTGAAAGACTGCGGCACGGAGCTGAAGCATTTTGAATATGTTAGTTACGGAAGTGTTTGGCAACATTTGAATGTGATGAAGAAATACGCAAAACGACGGGGGTTGGAAATCGAAAAGCAGATTGCGGGAAATTATAAAGAGTTATTAATGAGGGAGTTAGGTTACATTATTATGGAATTTGGGAAGATTAGTTAGCGATTCGTGAAGTAATTAATAGAGATAAGCAAGTAATTAATTATATTAATTATATACTGTATATATTGATGTATATGTGCAGTATCTTTTACCCTTAAATTATGTATTTTTAATTATTTAACTTTACGTATCAGGTCGCTGGCGAATATCTCGGTCGAGGAATAATTAACTTAACGTTAGATTTATCTTTAGTACTATCGCCACATTCACCCATTAAAAATTCCTAATTCCTTTATCAATTATCCGTGAAACATGACTCTGGACAATGCATAGAAACTGTAGAGTATTTAGGTCAACTGAAATATGAGACTATTTGCACGTTGCCATTTATTTGAAAAAACGAATATTTCAAAACATATCCATTTGTAATAAATATCGAAGCATATTGTTAAATTATCGAGTTGCAAAGGCATTATAACCTATCACCTATGTCTACACTTGAATTCTTGAACAAAATCAATTGTTCACTAACGAATCCGAAACTCTTTCGTTCTCACTTTTATATGAACGAATGATGATTATGCTTTTTCACGTAAACTTTCTCTACCAACCTGAAAACTAGTTCTTTCGGCCAGGAGATCCTCCACCCATTCCTCCTCACTATTTCCCGTCAGCATCTTATCCTCCGCTGCCTCATAATTAATTTCTTCTTTTTCCATAATTAATCTTATTATGGCTTCAGGAAGCAAAACGTCATTAACGAATCGAAGTTTTAATTCCTCTGAATACCTATAAAATGCTGGTTGTGTTCCATCATTTTGTAGAAATATTTTGACTTCCCTGTTCTTCTTGGGCGAGGAGATCACATTGTTTCGATCGATTGATTCTGCAACCTTTGGAACAAACATACCTCTCAAAACCCTCGCAACCATAGTGTACTCACTTTTGTTGTACGGACCAGCTGATACTTTATGAGCAAGTAGCCGTCGTTTCTTTCCTCCTTCGACAAAATGCTTATATCTCCATGCTGATTCATCCATGCCAATCAAAACCTGATATAACTTGCCCTCGAGGTTATGAACTTTCTTAATAAGTTCAGGATCATTATGATTCTGATCTTCATCATCCTCCATATGAATTGCACCCAACTTAACGAAATTAATAAACCAAGTTAATCAAATTTGTTTTATATATTTTATCTAAAAAATTATTGAATGAATTACCTGACATGTTTGAAATTCTTCTTCGTATCTCGTGTAGAATTCCTTCCTAGAAATCCATCTCAACCACCCATAACAAAGCCTAACCCTATATTTGTCTGGCTGAAAATTTTTGTAAACATTTTTGAGAAAGATAAAATATAATGACAAAACGGTAATCTTGATAATAATTACCTCGGTGTAGCATATAATTTGTGCAGGGTAATATTTCTTATTTACACAGGCAAGTACCGGCTCACCAGGAATCTTAAGACTTAAAGTAATAATTGAAAGTTTATAGGTGCCTCTTGTACCAAACTAAAACAAACATGTTAAGTGCCTAATTCAAACCTCTCGTCCTTACAAAATTCTTGACCACTTAAATCGATTACGCGAGTCGTTTTTCCTTTCGTTATTTTTCTTCGTTTAAATGGAGAAGATTCAACGATCTTACGAATAGCCAAATCCTCGCTGGGTAGTTCGTCGTCCTCTAAAAAAGCATTCGTATTCAGAAATCGATTGTCAATAAGTACATATGGAATCGGTAACGACTCCGTGTTTATGATTTCAGTGGACGAACTAGGTGTAGACTTGAATTCGTAATTTGTTTGTAAATTTTTTTCGCAGTTAACTTCTGAAGTCATTTTTAGAAAGGTTAATACCATTCCACCATCCGGCTATATGGATATACTATTTATAGGATTCTGTGATACAATGAACAAATGTTGTAAATTGAAATAAAATATTAAATAAATAAAAAAACTTATTTGTTTATTTTGTTTTACAATTATAGTTTTATTTATAAAAAAAAAAATTATTAAAAAATTTCCTTTTATAGTAATTTTTCTTCAAAATTAAAGAAACAAATATTTTTTTCACCTTTCAATACCCTAAAGTCCTTCACACTTTTCTTTTTTCATTACAAGAGTCTCAAGAAAATTAAAGAAGTATACTAGTGCATCAGAATGGAACCTCTAATCAGAAAAAAGCAAGTTTGGAATCTTGCTTTTTCTTTGGATTGCATGAGAAAAGGCTCATGGCAGTTACTTCTTTATAAATCTTCCTTGAAATTTTTCCTATTTTTTTTTCTTTTCAATATACAAATCTTTTTAAATAACTATACTTTTTGCTTGGAGAACTTCCTTTTATCTCAAAAAACCAGACTTCACATCAAAATTGTTTATATTATTGACTTGAAGCACTAACAATATATTTAATATTTACTTCTTACTATCATCCAGCATATTTTTTGTACCACCAAAAACTAAAAATCTCACTCAAAAAATTTCTTACCAAAAAATCGCAATCAATTTACTCCTGTCAATTGATCAACATTCCAAATCTAACCAATCAAACATTACTAATTTTCCAAACAAATCTGTATAACCAAAACACTATATTTTGATTGATGTAAACAAAATCTTTTATAATGACAACAATCAAAACAAAATCATATCATCAACAAACAAACCAATTACAAACCACATTACCACAACAATATTATTACCATACTAATTATCTATAAAAAAAATATACTATCAATATTATTGTATACTTTGGACAGTAATCTAATTATTTCTGAAAGTGCAATAGTACTTCAGTTAAATAGAACTACCAGTGTGGCGTGCTTAGTGATTTTATCTGAAGCATCTATAGCTTCACAATTAATGTTGTTGCACTTATTTTTTTTGGTTTTGTTTAGTATTTTCTTTTTTTTTCAATTTTCAATTTCTTATAGTTTTATATATAAACTTGAGTAGGTATTCATAACTGTTTAGTACTATTTAGGATGTACATCAGTTTTAATATTTATTTTTCATTTCACTTAGATAGTTTTTGTAGGCAAGCTAGCATTAGACTTATTAGCTTAGCAAGTTATATAAGAGATGTTATAACTTTCTTCATATATAAATTTTAAACAATTTTACAATTAATAAAGTAATGATGTTTATCTACTTAAAAAAAAAAATATTATTATTATTATTTTTTATTATTTATTTTAAAAAATAATTTTTATAATATATTGTATATTTCTTATTTAATTGAAATATAAAAATATAAAAAACTCTTTTCCATCTATCACCAAATTTTCTAATTAGGAAATACTCTTCAAAAAAGAAAAAACTTATCAAGTTCCTTTATTAAAATACTTTAAACTATAAGAAACTACTATTAACAGATATAACCTTGCAAGCACATTGATTACATTAACCTTATCAATTCACAGATATTACAAGAAAAAAAAACCAATAACTTGTTCTCTTCCTGTAAGAGAGGAAGATAAAAACAAAACTTTCTAATTCACAGTAAGCCAGCATCCCTACCACCACTACAACCAGTCATGTGCCAGGTTAAACATCTTCTCTAAATACTGTAAAAACTCAAGAAAGACCAGATTTCATCTGATAAATCAGACAACCTCATCACCTTCCTTGAGCTATAAGAATGCCAGACTTCCCATCAACTATACAGAGATAAGAGAAAATCTTATCATATATACTTTCAGATCATAAAAACCAAAACTAGCTTACCATCTCCAAAACTAGTATGTCATGAACATGTAGTCAAAAAGGAGCAATCAATAAGTAAACAACATGTACTTATCAACAAAACGTGTCAACACATGTTATCATCATATATACATTAGTAATATTTCATCATGTCAACAATAAAACACATCAGTATCATAATATATCAACAATAAATCATGTCAATTTCAACTATAACAATATCAGCCAGACAACTTTATACTTCATTAACAAATAAACAGTCATGTGTAAATAACCATGTGTCTCAAAAGAATTGTAAACAACAATACCAATATCAAATATTTACGCGACTCAATATGAAACAAACAACTATGACTGAACAAAATCCAATCACAATATCTGATAACAACCCAAGCTTTCAGATAACTACAACAAATCTGTATGGCAATATACTTCTAGATGTTATCCTTGTGAAAAGAACAAGATGCTATGTGTCAATAATCTATTTAAATCAAAAAAAAGGATATTATTCTTATAGAACCCTTCAGAACTTCAACAATTTCTTTTCTTAGTAACCACATCTCCAAATGGTTCATTTCCATCACAAATCTTACTAGACCAAAGTCCCCGACTTTTTTAATCTTCCAAATAGAATTTATAATGTCAAAGAATGACAATAGTCTCCATACACAGGTTTCGATACTCAAAGAGAAACCCATTCAGCTGCTAGATAAATTCCTAGACTTTCACAACTCACTTCAAAAAGTCTTTATAGAAAACAGTCAATTAAAAAACTAAGTTTTGCAAAAGGTTATGGCGAAAGGATGGAATTACTCCAAACATATCTCATGGAATATAATTCAAATTAACAAAACCCCATCCAAAAAGCCTAAAACATTTTTCCTTACAAGAACATACCAACTGGAAAGCACCATCCACTCAGGTGCAGCTAGTACATCCTTTCTTAGTGAAGCTTCAAAGTTGTTAAATTCTCAAATAAAATCACAAGACAACTCCCTAGCTACCAATCAAACCACATAAACAAATATCATGACTACCTAATCATATTCTAACTCATATCAAATCAACATCCAATTAAATCTTACAGATACATCCACCAATTACAAACAGCTTTCTATCAAAGAATCATATAAGGATGAGTCATCTATGTCTATAGATCTAAACTTCTCCATCCCAGAAGACATAGACATGGGAAATACCATAGGCTTATACATATACCAAAAAAAGAAAAATAACCACAATAATCTCCTACCAGACACCTCCATTATGTCACAATCAACAACTATCCCTGGTCAACATAAATCTAGCCTCACATTTTTACAGTCTCCTTCACTTATTCTTAAAAGTGCTCAACCTCCTAGACAACAATAGGAGCAAGAATGTCCAGTAAAAAGAAGCATCTACAAAGGAAAATTGGATACAGCACACAAGAGACTCTGGGTATATAAAGAAGATCTTATTTTAAAACACTTAGTAATAGAAGATTATGACATAACCATCAACACTGATGATGACGAAGATAACCTAAATATCTCTGATGATCTTATTACAGAACACCATTATATTGTTCAATAGGCATCCAAACTTACTACAATTAGAAACAATCCAGAAGAACTTATCAAACTTTTATTAGATATCAATCAGCAATCCAAAGATAGAGTTAGAAAGAAACCTTACTTAGCCATCTTTGTTAAAATAGAAGCTAGGGACAGAGACTTCTTTAACTTCAGTAAAACATTTGAACTTAAAGAGAACCATCAAAAAGAATATGAAAAACTGGAAGGCAGATTTCAAAAAATTTATGGAATCAAGTACAAAGTTACAGAGCTTAACAGAGAAGTCAGATCTAAGATCAAACTGCTACTAAGCACCAGTTTGTTTATCGTCTATTTAAGATATATCAATATTTTTGATCTCAATCTATACTTATTAGTGCAAATTATGGAATATGGGTGCAACTATCTCTGCCGATCCAAAGGAGACAGCAAGCTAGATTATTATGAAATTCTTCAAAAAAGAAAAAAAATGTTTCAAGACAATCTCCCTGCACTCTCCACTTCTCCAAACCTGATTTCTTCTCAAATAAAGGCCAAAATTTCTCACAGAATCCCTATTCTTGACAGAAGCACCACAGCAAGCGTTGTGGGATCCTTTCACTCCCTTTATAAATTTACTTTTCTTCCTGACTCGTACTTCGTTACACTCCTAGATCTTCTGGATTATTCTTAAGACCTTTCTAAAGAAGTCTCGGATCTCTTTCCAATTAGAAAGAGAAAAGATCTCAAAAACTTGAAGGACATAATTAGAGAACTTTGAAATTTTTTCATTATCCCTTCCAGAATCCTATCAACTTATTTCAATCTCCCACCTCCAAAAATTCCACTTTCTCCATTTCCCGATCAGTTGGATTTAGAGTTTTCACATCTATTTCCACTTGATATATCAACAAACAGTGTTAGAGATGTTGTCAAAACTCTTAGAACCAAGTATTATTTTGAACGGCTTCCTGTCAATTTCTTCAAATCCAGAAGACTTCTTCCAATCTTCCCATCAATTATCAATAAGTATCAATCTAAACTAGAAATTCAAATCCTTATCACAAACTCCCATGATACTCAGTTTTTAATCAAAATGTTAAGATCTGAATTCCATTTCACACTTCCACTAGGTTCATTATGGGTATCTTCTGAGATTGCCCAAATGAACAAACCAAAGCTTCCAAGAAAAATAGAGGACATCAAATCAGATCTCAACATTAAAAAACTCTCTTATAGTGATATCTAACTTAAGGAAAAAATCAAAACTCTACATGAATTCTATGAGTTCCAAAGGATTTCAGAAAACTGGTTCATTAATCCACAAGTCTCTTTGCCTGAAGATCCACAAGAAATCAATAAAATCCTATCAGACAAAAGCCTTATAACTCTCAAATTTCCTCTAGTTGACAACAATGCCCTCTCAACAGTTATCTATCAACTTCATCAAACATTCCTATTCACCAAACTACCTGACTCCCTTATTATTAAAGAGACACTTCCAGAACTGGAGTTTGATCTTCTCTTTTTCTTGTGTTAAATAATATGTTTAGTAATCCTAACATACTTAATACAGTAATCAATTCTAACTTACCAAAC